ATTTGAAATTTTATTTCAGTTAAACGCATGTAAACCCAGGTATTGTACTCTTTTTCCTACTTCAGTCTTTTTCCCAAATAAAAAAAAGGGTTTTGGCTGAAGAGGTTTTAATGAGGCATGCCTGAGGCAAATAGAAGAGATGTAATTGGCCTATAATTCTATATCATAAATACTCTCTTCTCATACTCTCTTCTCTTATTTTTAGTTTACTTTTCTATGCTTTAATTAGTTATCAAAAAATCAACCTCACTTGATACTCGGCCAATTTTGAGCCGATATCATCATTTGCGTATGATACTCGGCCAAGTTTGAGCCGATATCATCATTTGCGTATTATACTCGGCCAAGTTTCAGCTGATATCATCATTTGCGTATGCTATTCGGCCATGCTTGAGCCGATATCATCATTTGCGTATGATACTCGGCCAAGTTTGAGTCGATATCATCATTTGTGTATGCTACTCGGCCAAGTTTGAGCCGATATCATCATTTGGTTTAAACTTTGGCCAACTCTGAGCCCATTCCATTTAGTAATAATACATCGGCCAAGATTGAGTCGAACTTTTTCTTTATCTATAATTTAGCCAAGCTTGAGTAAAACTTATTCTTCATTCATAATACGGCCAAGTTTGAGTCGATCCTATTCTTCATTAATAAATTGGCCAAGTATGAGCCAATTTTATTACTTCAAGCGTAAGTCAGTCATGTTTGACTCAGTCTCATTCATCAATTCGCAACATGACCAAGTTTAAGCCTATTTCATCTTTCAAACTAGCGTCAATTTCCTTTCTTTTTATACTTCGGTTAAGTTTGAAGTCAAACCGTATTCACGAAAAATATTAAGTTTTAATTGAGCTTTCATCTTACTTGACATTCATGAGTTAAATTTAAGCATAACAATCTAAATAACTGAACATTCAAAGCATCATAAGATTGTCAAAAGTTACATATTTAGCCTATGAAGGCAGTAGCAAATATAAATCTTAAGTGCAAAATATACTAGTATTCATCAAATAAACAAAGCTATTCATTATTCTCCTCACTGCTTATATCATCAGGGATGTCATCTTCATTAACAACTTTCCCTTTGAAGACATCCTTGTTGATATGAACTTCTCCCAAGTTGATATTCAGGGCAATAACCTTCACTTGTCTTAGTGCTTTAGAAAATCCCCTTTTGTGATCCACTACCACTTGATATTCAGTAGCCTCCATCTTGCTCTTTATTTTTTTTGTTATAATTATCTAATTCTCCAATCTTTTTCACGTTAGTAGCAATGACTTCTTGGCAGGCCTTATTTTTCTTGTAGAGCTCTTCCATCTCGCCCTTCAGGCTTTGAATATTCTCCTCATAGCCCTTTGTTTTCTTTTTCGACATCTTCACATTCTCTGATTGAGCTTCCTTTTCTTTTTCCAACAGATTCACTTTCTTCAAAAGATCCTCAACTTTAGCCGCATACGATTTATTTGATCTCATCAAAATCTCAAATGCCTTGGAACTTTCCTCTAATTTTCTCTTCAAATCGCCAACCTCAGTAACCAAAGGCCCAATCTGGGCATTTTCAGTTCTCAGTTTGGACATCAGTGTAGCATTCTTATCCCACTTCTTCTTCCAATGATCTACCACAGCGATAGATCCTTGTAGAAATACTTGCACTGAGTCCAAACCTTGAACAGCTCCAACCTTTTCAATTAATGCCTTATCAGCGATATAGGCTGGATCCTCCTTGTAAAATGATTCTGCAGTCAACTCAGCATTCCAAAAGGAAGTCACGTCGGGTGACATACTTACATGATCCAACCTTGACAGTGGATGTTCAGTATCGTATCTTTGATGTAATGATCTCGGACGGTTTTTGGACGACCCCCCTTGTGAGGTCAGAGAATTAACACTGAGTTGAGCAATTGATGCTTCCAAGTTAGACACTAACTATTCTGAAGATTCAGGAACTTGTGCGCTTGACGGCTTCAAAAGAACAATTTGGAATCAGAGAAGTTAACATAATCATATAATATTTTCTAGTAATGACAAGAAACATACCTTTTCTTTTTCCAAATCAATAACAGGATTTTTCTCCACTTGCTTTTGACTAGTATTACCCTTCGGCTTGGTAGTGTTTTTCACAATGTCCTTCTTCGGAACACTCGGACCAACAACATGGTCAGCAGTCTTATGCTCCTTAATAACAACATGGTCAACAATCTTATGCTCCTCAATTTTCAGGTCTTCACCTTCTATCTTTTGCTTCTTAACTTTCTGCTTAGGAGAAGCTGCATCCAGAATTTCTTCTATGTTGAATTTTCCCTTCAATTCACGCCACCTACTCCTTCCCATGATACCTACATCAGCCATCATAACATTATGTTGAAATCAATTTAAGACATACTTAATCGTTATCAATATTATAATTAGCACTTACTTTCTAGATCCTCTTAAGGATTCTTTGATCCAGCAAGCACTATAACCGACTTGCTTTTTAAAGGCCGAGGTAACTTTTGCAATTTTTCTATATCTTCCACCTCGGATGGGGTTAGTTCCAAACCTTCCGAACCGGAAAATTTAACAGGTTGGGATTGCCAATAGAAGGGGAATCTCGGTTTTCCATTCAAGAAAAAGACATAATCCAAACTCGGATCACTACACATAGACCGAATTTTGACAATTTCTTGTTTAAAATTTTTGTATGATTGTGTAAATATTTGGAACAATCCTCCTCCTTTTGAACTTCCACTCAACGAAACCCAACCAAAAGGTGGCTTTCCTAACTTTATTTGATAAAAATGCATAAATCTCGGTAGACTTACTTCCATCCCTAATACTGAACACAAAATTTGAAATGCACGCAAAAAAACCCCAACTATTAGGGTGTAATTGACTTGGTGCTATGTTAACCTTTTCCAAGAACTCACATTCAAACGGTGTGAATGGCATTAGAATGCCTAAATCCTTAAACACGCATTTATACATATATATACTAGGAGACACGTTTGATCCTTCAAAGTACACACGCTCTTCAAACGAACAGGGCTCTATTGTGATTTGCTCTAGCATAGGGGGCAAACAAAACTTTAGATGATGCTGCAAAACGCTTACTCCCATTAAATCCCCAAACCTGCTGCTATACTGACCAACGTCACCCCTCACCCATTCATACCCAGATACTGCAATTTTGGGATGTGAATCTTTCTGATTGTTTCCTCCTTTTTTTCGAACATTCGTCTTCTCCATCTCTGTCATTTTACTCTTTCCCTTGCCACTTTTCATCCTACCTTTGTTCATCAACCTAAGCCTATGAGCTATGTACAGAATGTGGCCGAAACTTAAATGCAAAGCAGCAAGGCTAAGTGAATACTTGGAAGTGTAAACGCTCCACCCACGATGACACTACTTTCACGCTTTGCCTTCTAGCGTCTCTCTAAAAGCATACGAATGTGTTCGTGCATGCAGAGACCCCCTTTAAATGGTTGTTCTTCCGTCCCTCCAAAACTCAAGAGTTTCCTTTAAAATTCACACATCCCCACGTGACTGTCGTTTCGTATTTGATGCCCATTCATTACACCCCATCACTCTTACAACGCGTGCACTGAAACGACACGACCCCTTAGGTGCCCAGATGTCATTATTCAAACACTATGACTCCTCATGTCACCTCTAGTGCGTCATTATTTTTTGCAATGTGACACCTCATTATTCAATCTCGGCCGTCTCAACGTTCGGCCGTTCCGACATCATTAACCTCTTTCGCTCCTACATCGCTTACAGCTTGGGGGGCTTATGTACCATCCTTGGGATAAAACCGAGATCATGCTAGGACCGAGATAAAATCGGGATCATGCCGAGATCACAACGTAATTGACTGTATATAAGCTGACTCAAACCCTGAAGTCAATAAGACCAACGTCTCAGTATATAGACAACATCAAATAAATAACATGTGACAAGAATGATCGACCTAACCGTAGTTAACTCACCTCAGGTAACCGCTATAGCAGTTACATCGGAAAACCGCACAACTCAGGTAAAGGATAAGTATGAAGAAAGACAATGAAGGAAAACTAACTTGATCGTCGGAGTCCTTTTTGCAGGTACATCCAAGACGCTCGAGAAAGAAGACTAGAGAGAAGAGACTTACCACAGTAACCAATCTCATACGATCTCGGCTAGACCAAAACAGGAAAGACGACTTACCCTAGTTGGAGATCCAACCTGATTCTTGTAAGAACACTACTCAATGTGAACTCCTAATAAAACTCATACAAAAAATCAACAAAACGTAAAATTTGGCAACTCACACTCGTTACGAAAAAACAGCCAACACCAATATAAATCCAAAAGATGGACTAAACCAAAATTAGCAAGTTTATTTGCTTATTAATTAATTTTCTTCTGTGAAAATGTGGTTACGAAAAAGGGGGCCAACACCAATAAAATTCCAAAAGATGCACTAAATCAAAATTAGCAAGTGTGTCTACGCATTAATTTTCTTCTCCGGGTCTACACTGGGAAAGGCAATGTATCCATCTTCCAGGGGACCAAAAAACATTCTCAAAAGCAGCTAATACATGCATAGAGTCATCAAATTCTAACCAATGGAGGTGCCAACCCACTGCATGTGTGCATTAATCGCAAGAATGACCGCAACAAGCTCTGCATAAAGAGTCATCAAAAATGAACTCAAGAGAGAGTCTACGCATTAATTTTCTTCTCCGGGTCTACACTGGGAAAGGCAATGTATCCATCTTCCAGGGGACCAAAAAACATTCTCAAAAGCAGCTAATACATGCATAGAGTCATCAAATTCTAACCAATGGAGGTGCCAACCCACTGCATGTGTGCATTAATCGCAAGAATGACCGCAACAAGCTCTGCATAAAGAGTCATCAAAAATGAACTCAAGAGAGATCTGAATCAAGCAAGACCTTGCTTATCGACCGAACCTATGGTTTTCACCCGAAGCCATAGTAGACGAGCAACAGACGAACAAGATCACGCAGTAACAATGGAAGGAGAAGCGACATTGAGACGGCTGATCGAACAGGTCGATCAAATGCGGCAACAACACCCTACTAACCTAGAGAACATCTGAACCCGACATGAAGCTGACCTAGCACCGCTACGAGATGAGAATGAGCGCATCCGCGCCCAGCTTCCTCAGTGCCCCTCTGATCATCCCCCTCAACCAAGCAATCAAAACGAGGAAGAAGGGCACTCAGTTTCCCGGCCACCGACTGCACCCAGGGCGGCGATCCATAGGTTTACTGCACCTCGGTCACACGCACTGACGTACAAGTCAGACCATGAAGTCAGCAATGCACCTGCCCAGACTCCAGGACATAGGGCAAGCATTTACCGTCTTCTTTTTGTTGACGGCATCATGGAGACGCCCCTTCCTTTTGGATGGAAGCCTCTCAACATCGACCGCTATGATGGCACTACTGACCTAGATGAGCACGTCGATCTGTACATAACGCAGGTAAACCTATACACTAACGATGATGCTATCCTGTGTAGGGTTTTTCTGACCTCGCTCAAGGAATCGGCACTCGCCTGGTATACTCAATTGCCAGTAGGGTCAGTCGATAGCTTCAACACTCTAGTGAGGCAATTCCTGACACAGTACGCGACGAGTCGAACTCATCACATCACATCTGCTGCCTTGGCCAGCCTCAGACAGGGAGACGACGAACCATTGAGGACATTCATGGAGCGCTTTGCTGGCATCTCCTTCAAAATCCGCAACCAAAACCCTGAGGTCGCCCTACACGCCATGCTCATGGCACTCAAGCCAAGACCTTTTGTTGACAGCCTTTGTAGGCGACCTCCCCCAAACATGGACGAACTCCGTGCCCAAGCTACGGGGTACATTCAGATGGAAGAGCACACTACTTTTCGTGACCAAGTTCATGGGAAACCACAAGGAAAGCCAGACCATGGCCACAAAGATAAGGTAAAAGTCACCAACGATGACCAATTCAAGAAGACTAGGTTGAACAAAGGAGGGAGGTATGACTTCTACACCCCCTTCAACGCACCCCAAGTACATATCCTGGAGAAGGCCAACAATACCAACCTGATTACTCTGCCACCACCTGGGCACAACCCCAGCAGCATAGACAAATCCAAGCATTGCCGATACCATAGAAACTATGGTCACACAACCGAGGAATGTCGCATACTCAGAGATCATATTGAGGAACTCGTCCAAGGGGGGCACCTCGGACAATACGTCTAACGGCAACAATCTCACAGAGGAGGCTACCATGGATGAGGACGGGGACGAGGCCGAGGTTCTGGCACGTGCACAGATCAACCATCTGGATCTCAGCAAAACACTAGTAGAGCAGTGCAGGCCGAGGTAAGTCATGATACAAGAATGACTCCCCTACGTGGTGTAGACCCCTAAAATTGTCCGGGTCGGAAATAAG